CCGGCCCCTGGCATCCATCCAGCACGCACAGGGCTGGGTTTTTTTTTTTTCCACTCAGACTGACCAAGAGATCTGCAATACCCAGCTATTTCCTAAGCAACTTTGAAAGCGTGGTAACTATTATTTAATAAATCTTTTTTTTTTTTTTTTTTTCCCCAGGAAAGATGTTCCAGGGGCGGGGATGTAACCTTCCACCTCTGCCTCCAAATGTTTGTCTGGCAGCTGAGACCCACACAGGACTAGCAACGCGATGGCCATCGGGGGGGCTGTCGTTATCCTTGGCTCTTATCTGAAAACAGCCCTTTCATTAAAACACCGTGAAATCCATAAAAATAGTGAGGGAAACAGATAACAGACAACGTGGTGCGTTAAACTTTGTTGTTTTAACTTTACGAAGAGGGAAATGCCAATTTCTATTGGGTTTACTCCACAGATGCTTATCAGCCAGGGGGAAATGAAACCCTGATTAGAAGCAGAAAGGAAATAAAACCACCTCTCCCAGCCACATGAAAGACAAAAGAAATGGGACCAGCAGCTCTCTGTGGGGTCTGGAGGAAAAGCCCGCAGCAAAGCCAGCCGGAGCCCACCTCGGTGCGGGAGCCGGGTACGTGTGTGGATTTAGGACTATTCACATTTTTAAGTTCCTCATGGCTAAATACACACGGAGCCGGCGCTGAGCTGGCCAAATGCCGACGCTGTCCTGATGGTCCTGAGCTGAGGACAACAGGAGCCACCAGCTGCGCAAGCAACGGCACCGGGCAGACACGCTCCAGTCCGGGAGCGTTTGCTTTCAGGGCACGTACCTGCACGTAACACAAGTCACAAGCGATGCGCAGCACGAGGAAACAAGGCGTGTTTCGACTCCTGAGCTGAGCCTCTCCTTTCCTACCCGAGAGGAGACCTGTCCATCACCGCACACACATCAGCCTCTCTCCTCACTGCTTGACCAGAGCCACTCAACGGCAACTGGGTTTCACGTGGAAATTGCTTAATATGCGTACCGGTAAGATAACGAAGGGATTTTTGGATTTTTTTTTTTTTTCCCCCCAAACAAAACCAGGCAGATTTTACAAGCCCCATTATTCGTTTCAAGAAATCAGCAGTTTGCAGTGAAACTCTCTGTTGGTTCACACGGTCTCAGCAGCAATCCTGCGTTGTAGTACAAAAACAAATTAGGACCCCCATCCCAAAGAGAGGAGCTTCTCATAGCTCAACACAGACTCTCAGCAGCAACCTATGATTAACGTGTTACCAACACAAAAGGACAAATAATATATTAAGTTAAAACACAGCAAGATTAAAATAATGGCAAGAATTCCTCCCAAGTATAATAAGAAATGAATTTGTTGGGTTTTCTCACCATAATCACAAAAAGCACTTGTAGTTACAGTACTGACCAAAGTCTTCCAGTCGGGGACACCAGTTTTCCCTCTATCATACACGCTCCCTTTTATGAGACCGATTGCTTATTCAGCCCATCTCCAAATGTCTGTGTGGAGCTGTTAGTACTTGCCTCGTCGTCGGATTTGGAAGACAAGTGACTGTCAGTCCTGCCGGGAAGGGTGGCAGAAATCCTCCAGCTGCATGCTAAAAATACTCACACCGTGCCTCTTGTAATTACAAGTAGCTTAATTGCCAACATCACTTCTAATGAGTTGCAAGAACCACAAATGAATATATAGAATTCACTTCCCCACCTCTATTTTATATGGTTGAAACAGATTTAATTATAGGTAAGGAATGAAAATTTAACAGCAAGCATGTTCTACCTGGTCATTTCATACACACATAGATAGTATAAAAATAAATACTTCTGCGTAGACAGACGTACCTACTGTCGGAAACCTGAATACATTCACAAATGTTTTGAGTATGTGCACGTGGGTACACATAGTTCTGTCTTTCCCAGGGGGCAAAATACATGCACAAATATACTGATTGAGAACGTATTCGTTGATGTTTGAGGTAATACTGATATTTCACAGAGAGTGGAATATCAAAACCTATTTTGAATAAAATCAAACATATTCAATAATAACTGTTCATCACAGTAATTCTGTGAGCACACTCATTCTCTCTGTTTTTACACCCACACATAAAACCAAAATGTAATTGCTTTTTTGTTTTTAAAGGAAGGGTATATATGTATATATGGATGCGCTGTCTTAAAACCTGCAGACAAAAAATTGTTTTCAGTTGCACTTTTTTTTGCCAAAATCATCCAAACTGACATTTCTCTTCATGAAGCCTATAAGCCCTAAGAAGCTTCATCAAGGGCATGGAGACTTTTTCTTTTGCTCACAAGCCCCTTTTAGTTCATGGCTTTCAGCCAAAACCGCCAAACGTTGTACAAAAATATTTTTGCAAACAGCGATTGCTGACATATCAGCTACTCCGGTGCTAAACTGCTGCTCGCAGGACAGGCTCGTTCTCCGGCGTACGGGCACGCGTTTTTTTCCTTCTGAATTAACTCGGCTCCTTTCCAGAGGCAGCAGCCCCTCGTGCATAGCAGCGTGCACGCACCAACCTAGCAGAAAACGGCATGGCCCCCTCTGCGTTTGATAGCGGATTGCAGGTCAGGGAAATAGTCACGTGGTGTTTAGATCATACAGGCTGTTTATAAAAGGTCTTGGGCGCTGACACAGAAATCCTAGTTAACTCAATCTTTCCAGCACCTTTCGGACGGAAAGGCATCCCCATCCCCGCTCTGCAGCAGGATTACTCCTTCCCGCCCTTTGCCCTGACACGGCGCTATGGAAATGAACCATTAAATTCCCTAAGCAGCAGCCCAGTTGCCCATTTGTCAGGTCTCATTAGGCTGGCGACATGTCGTCCTCGCTGTCACCACCGCCGGGGACAATGGAAGGTCCCCGTCCTCCAAGGAAGGACCGGGGAGCCCTCGAGCAGAGGCGCTGCCAAACGTCAGACCTCCGGTTCTGGGGGGGGATGTGTTGTCGGAGAGGACAGTTATTTGTGACGATGTATTTGTCCCTCCTGTCCCTCTCGCAAGCTCAGTAGATACCTGCTAGCTGGTCTTCACTGATGGCCACGAGCTGGGCTGCTGCCGGCTGCAAGGTTGCAGCAAACGCTGCAGCATTTCAGAAGGAAAAAAAAAAACCAAAACATCATCAGACACCAAATCTTCCCGTACAACCATTTGGCCAAAGCCAGGCCTGAAGGAACTCCTGGTTTGTGGGCATTTCTGTGGTTCTCCTCCTTGCGTGAGGACGGCACACGCTGCGGTGGTCAGTGCCTCTCCACCTCCCTCCCGCGGGAGATGAAGCGTTGCCCTGCTCTCCCTGGACCTCTGATGCAGATGGAGGTTGCCCAGTCTCACAGGGGGTTGATGCTTCTGCTGACGTCTCGGCTCCACCTTCCTCCTACATCTCCTCCTCGCTGCCTGGGCCACATCTCCAAGTTTTATAGCTTACTACCTCATTTCATCTTGAAGTCATTTTCTCTTATGCCTTCACTTGGAAGAGCCTCCATCTCAGAGCGCCCTAAAGCAACACTTCTTTCAGGTAGATAAAATAGTAAAAGCAAATAAAAGCTCCCTCTCAGCAGGCAGTAGACATATCAGCCCCAAAGTATCAAGCACAGCATGCCAAAGCAGCAATGTCTGTGAGAAACTGCAGAAGCCACAGCAGAAGTAATTTGCTCTTGCAAGTTACGCTGTGCAAGGTCAGCTGGACCATCCTCCGACTACGTTACCGTGATTATTCACCGGCGATAAACCAAGTCAAAGGAGCTACAACCAGTGCGGCAGTGCTGGAAGATCTGTTCCCGGACGCAAAGTCTACCCAACAGTAGGTCCCCCTCACGCCCATCACCAGTGTGACTTTCCCAACAACTGCAAGAGTTAATTCACTGTTCTTTCATTTCCTCCTGCCTTTCTTCCAGTCCACGTAAAGCTACAGGTTGGAGTTTCCACTGCTGAAACTATAATATATGTATTCATTTGCATCCCTCTACAGCTTCAAAAACTAAACCCCAAATCTCCAGCTGTGTAATGTCATCACTGTCCAAAGACAAATCCAAATCGCAATGGAAGTTTTCCCATCTATCAGGATGTGATGTGCAGGATCCTGGACAGCAATCCCAGAGACTACTTGCAACTTTGCCAGCTCTAATTGCAACTTTTGCTGAATTATAAACCTCTTTTTTTTTGGTCTATTCTGTTTACTTCCTGCCTTTTGGTTCCTACCAAAAACATCAGAAAAGTTTCAAACAAAAATGGGAATTCACTTGAATTGCCTTCAAATCCAGCTTCTTCCCACTTGCCATTTACAAAATTTTCTTTGTGGTTTGGCCGTGGGAATGGTTAAATATATGTTACCCTCCTGGTAATATGGGATGTAGCAAAGCACATGCAACTTCTATCTAAGGAACCTGTAGGAGCTCTCGCAAAGGGGTTCGCTACCTCTCCTCAATTACAGCAAGCAAGAGTAATTAAACAATCGAACACAATTAGTGCACAAATTACTCCCAGAAATGTGGATGATCTAATCGCCTTGCTGCTAATTACAAAGCCTGTATTTCATTGAGCTAAAAGCCCGCGTCCTGGGGAAGTGAAGGGGGGTACAATATGTTCCCTCTCACGCCATCTTCCCCCGGGTGCAATTTAATCTTCAACAAGATGCGATTTCAAGATTATTTTAGAAGTCCCACATTGCTTCTATTTTCAATCTGTATTATTTATATTTTCAGTCTGGCTAGCGAAATCTTAACTTTTCTTGGGACCTGTACAAACCCCTCATCTTTTAATGAGTTGTAGTAAAACGTCACTTACATTCATGCATCCCCAGAGGATAGTTCGGCTTCAGATAAACACAGAGGAGAGATGAAACAGATACATTTCACTTGAGTATTTCAGATACGTAGTATTTGGCATAAATGACAGAAAAAAAGTTAGCTTAAAATTCAGGCAGGCCATGATGTTCATATGAGAAAATACAATTTATGCAAATTAATTGCCAAACCGAGAAGGTGAGATATTCAAAGTTAGACATCATTCATTCCCATTTCACTCCACCATATATAACACACAGGGGTGCAGGGACACGGCTAGTTTTTTTAAATCACACGTAACATTCACGACTGTGACTCTGAACACTTCTGAATTAGCAGCAAGGCGGACATGGACGATCTAATAAATCATTTCAAGACCTATCCCCCAGGTTTTCGCATGACATGCCACAGAGGCAGCAGCGGCAACGAGCCCTGAACTCAACGGGATGCGTAAGATCAGGATTCGGCCC